GGATTATGACTCAGCTTCACGTAGCATAGTTTGGCAGTAGGTCAAATTAAGAAATGCAAAGATTGTTACGCCAACCTACTAAATGAGGAAAGCCTAACTCCTATAGTGGAATTGGGGGATATGACCATTACACGGCATCATACCTTCAAGTAGGTAAAACAGCCTATCTTGAAAAAAAAATCGAATACTGTTTTCTTTTATTTATTTTTTTTGTTTTGTTTTATTTTAGTTTATTTATTTATTTATTTAGGTTATTGTTTGTTTTTATTTGGGGTTTTTAAATTACTTGAGATCGAACATCGACCAGTAATGTTGTAAGAAAACAAACTATTACTTCAGCTATAATCAAACTGGTGTGAAAGTTATATTACTGGCTATGATCAGGAGTTCTCACTAAATTTAACGATTCTATTTTTTCGGATGGCAATTAATTTAAATTCTTTCTTCTGGAATCTGGCCAAATTTCTCAGTCGTCAGTCACATCGATCTCAAAATCCAATGAATTGCCTTCTCCTGTATCGATTGATTATACAGATTATTCCGCGACTTACCATTCCGCGGTCGTTGTTATCCGCGGTCAACACAACCAAACAATTCATTAGATTTTACTTAATAATGCCGTCAAGGGCAAGTATAGAGATGTTGTCAATTCCGACAAAAGCCAAAAAAAAAAAGTACAATTTCTTATGTTAATATAATAAAAACATCGTGGGATGAGTTTATTAAGATCTACTTTAAGAAAGATTTTTCTAAATCTTTCCCAAAGAGAAACTATGATCGGGAATGTGAATGAAACCATTGATAGCACAGACTGCATTTGCATAGATGCAGTAGGCATTTGATCCACAGTTTTTAACCCTGAAGAGTCTCCCATAACAGAACGTGGTCGTAAGGCAGCTGAAGTTTAAAATCAGTTTTCGTTCTCTTAGATAGGTTGCTCTCCCAAGCTAATGAGTTCTATCTACGCGATTCCGTGCCATACAAGTTCCTCCTTTCGTGTCATCATAAAAATTCAGATAATAAATATTAAACACTAAATATCACGGTTTACGAAACCGTTATCACAAATTTAGTATAGGTGATAAGGAATTTGAACACATGATAGTCTGCGCTAGGGATAGTTTTATCCCAAACTGCAAGACGCTTCAGAGGCAAAGCATTAACCTATGACCTCGAGTCGTATTCTTAAATGACTTATACTATGTCAGATCGAGACTCGCAGGTATGCATGGTGTCAGGCTTGTTCAGAAATGTCTAAACTATCATCTATATATTGATTTTCTAAGCGTAGATATGATACAAGGCCGAAATTATAAATTCACCCAGTGAGAATCGAAATCACAATTCAGTCGTAACTGACCTAGCGAGACAAGCTTATTAACCATTACGCCACACCGAAGTGCCCAACTATCATCTATATGTAACCGTATTTTCAAATTGGCGATTTAAAAATGGATGCACACGAATGAACCGAACCTGTTGGTCTTGAAGAGAACTCTCTTTCATCGGATCTCGTAGAATGGCGCTACATAGTCACAAAGAAAGAACATTACCAAATTATTTTCCACAGTCAAACCTTTCTCTCACCGGAGCCATGTGACGAGTCTTTCGCTGCTTTATCTCTCCAACCATGGGAAGTTCACGGTCGAACTACATCACATGGTTCCACCAGATCTGACTTTCACGGCTAGGACCCCCCATGCCACTTACAGAGTAGCAACCCCACCCACATTCTTTCCGTATTCCATCGGCGAGAAGTAAGTTCCACTCGAGCAGTTTCTTCTCGCGGACAACTGTCCTATGGAACAGACTCTCAAGAGGATGTTTCCCCGATCACTACAATCTTAACCTGTTCAAGTCTAGAGTCAACTGTTATCTTCCCCTCCTATCCATATAAACTACTCCTTAACATAAACCTCTACCTCGAGTGGCCCTTACACCTTTTTATATTAGATGAACCCTCATGTAAATATATATATATATATATATATATATATATATATATATATATATAATAAAAACACCCTTCACTTCAAGGCTTGCAACAACTGAAATAAATACCGCAGATAGTAGCTAGAAAGGAAATTAATGATAAAATTGAAATATTGACGTTCCACACAACCTTAAACAAAACTTAAAGATGGAAACCCAAATCTAGACTAAAAAGATCAATAACAGTAGACATACGAAATCTATTTTCATGAAAAAGCTGCTTTAAGAGAAAAGGTTTTATAAATCTCAGCCAACAGGAATGCTAACTTTTCAGAATGAATGTCAAACGCTTCCTTATAAGGAAACGGCTGAGCTCAACATTGGTAATTACTATCCACCACATAATTTTTATTGCAATAAATTATCATAGTCTATTTTACTCCAGTGGTACAGAAAGTCCAAGACAACCAACAGATGCTCTGGTTGCAACATCTTGATAGTTACCATATACCGGTTGGAGTCTTACTTCGTAGAGATGCAGTATGGATTTGATCCGCAGTATTTAAATCTGAAGATTTTCCCATAGCTGAGCGTGAGCATAAAGCAGCCGAAATTTGAAATCAGTTTTCCTTCTCATAGATAGATTGCCTTCCTAAGCTAATGAGTCCCATCTACCCGATTCTGTGCCACTCGAGTTCCACCTTTCAGGCCAATATAGTATCGATGGGGGTTTGGCATCCCCTCAAGCACTCTAAACATTTCCGCACATATGTCTCTGTTTCCTCCTCCTTTAGGAGATGGTATTCCAACCACAACGTGTATAAAAAATATGTCTGAGTTTGGACTGAGGAGCCATATAAAGAATCATTACTGACTACAAGTTCATTGTGCCTGATTTATAAATTAAACTTTATCAGAGGCAAGTATGTATAAGAAAAAATATATGCAGGTTATCTCTAGTCCGGACACGTAGGCAAAAATGCATATTTTCAAGCAATGAAATTTTCAGCATTTTATTGGATTGGAATATTAACAAATAACTTATTCAATATGATTTGCATCATTTGTGAGGCAAATGTTTGTGAGCTTCGCAAGATTCACGTGAACTTGATGCAATAACTCCATATTGCCGCCAATTTTAGCACATTCACTTTTTATGCGTTCAATCAAGTGTGTTGTATCTGGGATTTTCACTGAGTACAACTTCTCCTTTAACATACCCAAAGGCAAGTTCAATTCTTCTTTCGACAAAACCATGTTTAATATGTGGTGGCAAAAACAAAACAAAAAAAAATTAGTTAATGAGATTTCCCGTGTATCCAGACTTCAGGAGCACTCTGTATATGGTTCGGAACTATTTGAAATATCAAGCATTCATTGGTGTTTTCGAATATGATTTAGGAAGACAAAGTAAAAAAAAAAATGATTTTATATTTTTACATGTTTTCAAGGCGAGATAATTTGCAAACGTAACTTTGAAAAACACGCAACGATATTGCAAAGATGAATTTGCTTTTGATAAGATTCTCAATTTTCTACGTGTAAAAATGAAGTCTATAAAATACGTGCTTTTTGCAATTCTAGTTTATTCATGAGATATATCTTTGGTTGTTGCCGAAGGAGTGAACTCGGAATTTACCTATATTAAAGTAAAATTACTGAATTATTCATATCTGAATTGTTTCTCGGCCTTTCTAAATTTTGAGCAAAGGGTCATTCACATCCCCACTAAACGGCGATAAAACAAAGCCCTAACCCTATATTTAAAACAATTGCCTCCTATATTTTCTCCATTTAAAATCTTACGTCCATGCACAAGCGGCCACATGGTTCTTTTAAAACATATTTATAGATTTTTTTTATGAACATAAAAGGATATGCGGAGGGTACAACGGTTAGCAACTTGGAAAGAGAAATCTGGCAAACCGAGTTCGAATTCAGACCGAGATCGTTACGTTCACTTTTGCACAAATACAATTACAAAGGTATTAATCGATCTTTCCCCAACCGCACTACAGCTCTGGTGATTTTTCTAAGCGGAGCTTAGATGTATCACAAGGCCGAAAGTATGGGTCACCTAGTGAGGATCGAACTCACTACTCGGTTGTTACTAATCTAGCGAGAAAAGCTTGCTAAGCATTACAGGACATCGAAATGCACACTCCGCTACAGTTATGGCTAATAGCATAGTTGACTGTGCTCTCTTGCAAACAGTCTGAGAAAACAAAACTCTGACATCAAAACCTGTTTCAGGCTGTCTTCTCCAAGACACGCCACTACTCTATAGCTATATTTAGCTGTCCCCCCACCCCACGTGGGTAGCATGTGGCACAAGGCCGAGTTTAATATCTATAATCCGGAGCCCGTAGGCCCGGCCAAAATATAGCCTTCGAACCCGCCTAGGCGGGTTCGAGAGCTGTCACCCTCCCCGAACGAAACCTTGCCCTTCGGCAAAGCTTCGTCCGGGTTCCTCCCTGCTAATGCAGAGAGTTAGACAGACGGCGGTTGCTGTAACTTTAATACAGCCACGACTCTATAGCTGCAGTACACGTAGTGCTACTATGACCACAATAGTTTCGAGCCTCGTAAAGTGACATGACGACGGACATTAAAATGGTTGACTTCTCAAAATCTGGGGAGCTAAGATCACCCATGTCCTGGAGGGACGCGTCACATAGAGGAGGGTATATTTGTAGCGTGAGAAAACTTTGTTTTTCAAATCTAATATTTTCTAAATATCCGTTAAATTAGTTTCAGCTCCTTTTTAATAGTTATGTACCTTCATAACGTATCATGTAATGGCTCACCACAGCTTCCTTTTCTTCAGTATCTTTAAACACTGTATAGACACGATTGTTCTTGGCAAAAGATAGTGAAGTAGTTTACCATTGCCTTCTCATTTTTCCTCGGAGACTGCCAGCCATGTATATTGAGCCCTACTACTGTCTTATCATTTAATCTGAAGTTAAAGTAAGAATAGGTGGTTTCATGCCTTTTTCAGGTACATTACAGTGCAGTAAAAACTAGTAGAACAAACAAAAAAAGCGATTAACAATATTTTCAAGGGCTTACGGGCATATCACGTTGAAACACCGGTTCCCGTACGATCACCGAAGTTAAGCAATGTTGAGCTTGGTTACTACCTAGATGGGTGACCGCATAGGAATACCAGGTGATGTAAGCTTGGATATGCTTGTGGTTTAATAGATAACTGATCAGAATTGTTAATCGGAGCGCCGAGTTCTAATCCCAGTTGGGTTTGTTATATTCACTTGGGAAAGGTATGAATCCATCTCTTCTCCCCCTAGCTATGGGTTAATTAGTAACACTTGTACCAATAAGTCATTATTATTTCCCAAAAAACAAAATTCTTAAAATCTAAAAATATTTTCTGGCTGCAAATTGGAAAGTGCATAAAAATACCAATAAAAATAAGTTATAGAAAGTTGAATCAGCTCAGAAATGTTATTACTTTAGACTCTGTTTATCAATTCTATTTTTAGTGCACTTACCCATTAACCTTCCATTCATTGCTTTCTCTCTTTTCATAAGTAATATATATATATATATATATATATATATATATATATATTGGAAATCATCATTTTCTGATATTAACCAATTCCATACACTACTTCAAAACTTACACCCAAAAAATCAAATTCACGCAAGAATATAATTTTAACGAATTACCATTTTTTTTAGATATACTCATTAGAAATAAAAAAAAACAACCACATAATCACAGATATCTACCACAAACCCACAGACACCCAACAATACCTTCATTTCAAGAGCCATCACCCAAAAAGCTGCCTAAAATCCATCCCCTATTCCCTAGCACGTAGAATTTGTACAATAGTGACTGATAAACACCTCCGAAAAATCCGCTTAGAAGAACTACATAAAACTCTCAAAAAACGAGGCTACCCCACAACACTAATAAACAAAGGTTTTGAACTCGCGAAAAAAATTCCTCTAGACCAACTTAGAAATAAAAAGAAACGTAACGTCGAACAAACTCTAGCATATGTCTCAACATACAATAAAAAACAATCCAGAAATATTCCCAGAAATTACAAAAAATCTAGACTTACTTAGCAAGAATAATAAACTGAAAATATACTAAAAACAACCAAAATAATTAAAAGCAAACGCCAATCTAAAAAATAAAAACACATATTAACCTATCTAAATTTAACCAACACAAAATACATTAAGCAAATAAAAAAGATTTGGGGTTTGTGACATCATTATAGAAAAACTCCTACCTTTTGAAAACCCCAAAAATTCACAATAAATAAAAACTTAAACTGCAACTCCAAAAATGTAGTTTATGCACTTAAATGCACAAAATGTAAGAAGTCATATATAGGCATCAGCCAACAACTGAACAACAGGGTCTCCCCTACACAAAAAGCAATATAAAATTGACAGACAACAGAAAACTTTTTGTATCACAACACATTTTCAAATGTAACCAGGGTAAATTTAATATCATGCCGATATATCAAACAGACAATTATTCCTATCTACAAATACAGGAAAAAAAAAAAGCTTATAGACAAATTCAAACCCGAACTAAATAGATCATAACCCCCCAAAAAAAAAAACATGCACACAGGGTGACCAAATACAATGATCGCTCACATACATGGACGCACACTCATATACATACAGACACGAGGATATATATATATATGTGTGTACATATACATATACATTTATATATGTATATATATATTTATGTTGACAACTTAAGAAGTACGTGTGTGTGTGTGTGTGTATATGTGTGTGTGTGTGTGTGTGTGTGTGTGTATACTGGTTCCATGTAGCTTGGGAAATATGTGTGTATATGTGTATGTGTGTGTATGTACTGATTCACTTGTGGTGGGATAGTGTGTATGTGCGTATGTGTGTGTATGCGTGTATATTGTACAAATAAGTTTACGAATTCCAGTTGTAGTAAGGAAATATACGCACGCATATATACACGCATGCTGACAGGAACACACAAAATAGAAACAGATCCAAGAACACATAGAGGTCACTAAAACATTAAAAGATTAAATGCCGATAACTCATCTCGCTGGACAAACCTTAATTGTTTTATGACCCTTCACGCAGAACTCTTCATTGACAATTCTAGAAAGAAAATTCGGATTACCAACACAAAAACAGAATGTCTCATATCGAGAATATTCCACATTGAACATGAAGAAAAATTAATTATTTTTAATAATATGTAAAAATCTCCACTTTCACCTGAAGACGGTTTGCGAGACCAGACCAAAACACGTGTCGTAAAATTATGTAAAACAAAGTATAATATTTTTTTTCAATAAATCCACATTACAACCAAAAACGTTTGCGGCACCCTCTTCTTTTTTTAATATACATACTTTTCTCTCGTTGGAACCACTACAACATATTTCCTTTATATATATATATATATATATATATATATATATATATATATATATATATATATTCGCATAAATAATATATTGGCTATACGTCCGGTTGCCTCTAGATAGAATCGAACCCGACTAAATTTAAAGTTAATTCTACCAACATAGGGATGAAAATGAATTTTAATATATTTATTTTTTAGATAAACACAGTGACGGACATTGATTCAATTTCAAATTTTATAAGAGTATATAAATTTATATTTAATAGTCAATGTTTAATAAACCCAATTTAATAGAGAAAAACACAAAAATAATTTTTTCAGGAGCCTATAAAAGTCATCCACATACAGATTTATAATGTTTCAATATTATATTTTCAGTGTTATGGGATCGAAAAATTACTTTTTGGATTTTAAATCGAGTTTAAGAATAAGTATTTATGGCGAATCGAACCAACGATTTAAAGAATTTAAATTAATATAAAAATAGCATTTTTAAAAGTTGAAATAAGTTAAAATTGGAATTTTTTTTTTCTTTCACTCCAAGCAAAACGAATAAAAATGCATCTAAGACGAAAACGATTAAATGCGAAAATGAAGAAAAAAATTTTACAAGAAGAAAAAACAACTGAAAAGATCTCGTTTCAAACAGACAGAAAATTGGGTTTTTGAAGAAATAACGAATTTAAAGAAGAAATCAGAAGGGAAATCCAATTGAGAAGTGCGATAAATATATATACTTATGTCCAGAACTTACCTTTTACATTTCGCTTTCATGCAGTAAAACGATGGGGACCTATTTTTTTGATCTAATAGTTCACTTAAATTCATGCAATGAATTTTGAAATAAGGAAAAAGGTCTCGTTAGAACTGCCATGAAAATATTTACGAAAAAGACAGCCGGAAGCCACGTCACGGCGGTGGGAAAGTAACTGAAGTTGAAAATATTTTGCAGACCCTTGTTTGGAATTTGTCAATAATTTTGCGATATATAGCCGAAGCACCAGACCAGATATACCAGCAGAATTCAATGCATGAACGAATGGTAGATTTATAAATGTGTAAAATGGAGTCTGAATATTTGAAAATTGTTTCGCAAGATTTATATTACAACTTTCTTATCAGGAGAAAAAATATATTCAATATAATCATTTCAGGGCAATGAGTTACTGTCCCAGATATTAGCATCAGCTATGTTGATGCGGAGGGTGGGCAAAAATAATTCCTCGAACGATACACTTAAAGTAAAAATCAGTTGTTCGTATGCTTAACATGAAATACGTTTTAATTTTAGAATATTTTTATAAATATTTTTGATATGCGATAAATAAATCCAAAAAAACTCAAATACGGAAGGGCCAAAAATATTAAAAATCACTGGAATAGATGAACAAGAACAAAGACAAAAAAAATATGGAGTCGTTTTAAAAATGATCTCAACCTTAGACGATTTCAGCATCGACAAGATCACAGAAGTGGACACATACCAGAGGCCCTCACTAAATCCATCTTCGTAACATTACCTACGAGACCAAGTGTAAACGGTTGCTAACTCCATCGAAAAGTCAGTTTAATGAGTCACTTCTGTCAGTTATGTACCATTACACGTTTTTTGATCATGTATCTTTTCGATACATGAATATACGAAAATAGATTTTTTTTCAAATAAGTAGGTTACCATTTCTTTCTGAGGTAGACCATCCAAGGCTATAGAACCCGGTCTCTCCTGCTATTTATCCATAGTTGGTGCTGGGGAGAAGGAGAGGATTCATACCTTTCCAGGGGTATTAGCACGTAAGTGAATCTAATGGATTCGACTGGAATTCGAACTCTTCTCTCCGATTCCTCAATCTGGGCTGCCATCCATTACTCCACCGGGCCTCACTTAACCAAGCTAATGATTAGAAACAGAATTATTATTATTTTATTATTATTATTATTTTTACCCCTGACGTCTCCACAATGATTTTATTTAAAAATAATCTATCAACAAGAGAAAAGAATATTTTAAATTTTTCATCTCTGCGTCCCGGGCGATGGATCCTGGCTCAACCGCGAAATTCAACAGAATTAGACCGGAAATAGCGCGAAACAGAATTAGACCAGAACAGCGCGGCTTTGTCAATGACACCAGAACAAGATATTTTTATTTTTTTATTTTTTTTTTAAAGTAAAAATCGCCCTGTACAATCTATCTTTATGTTAAATTCAGGGTTAAAATATAATGAATAATTTTTATACAAACAGATAACAGAAGATAACGGTTAACTCTAGACATGAACATGTTAAGATTGTAGTGAAACCTCATTGGGAGCCTGTCCCACAGAGCAGTTGTTCATAGGAAGAAGCTGTTTGAATGGAACTTACTTCTCACCAATGGAATACAGAGGGAGTGTGGGTGATTTGCTACAATGTCCATGGCATGGTGTGTCCTAGTCGTGAAGGTTTGACCTGGCGGAACCAAGGAATGTAGTGCGTCTGAGAACTTTCCATGAAAGTAGCGATAAATCAATGAGAGGCTTGTCACATCATGCCTCTGAGTGAGAGGTTGAAGGTTGGAAAATAATTCATCACCCACATGGATTCCGAGGCACCCATCGAGGAGACCTTATTATTTGGTAGTTTTTTTTCTTCTACTAATGTTCCCCTAATACAAGGCTTGAGAGTCACTCAAGGTAGGTGGTTACTGTTAAAATGGTTATAATAAATGAGATGTGTGATAAAAATGAAAGAAAAGGTAGCGAGAAGTGAAGAATTGTTATTGAAGTA